CCCCCCCCACGGAGAGCAGGTACCTCCCCGCACTTGCGCATTTGAAACTGACCATGTGGTCCAGTGGATTAGCCTGCAGCACCACACCATATATTAGTAACTTAATAAACTATCCTTGTATTCTTAAACTACAGATTTTGTTGTTGTTGCGTGCCATCGAACCGCAAATAAAGACCTATAATTTTCCAAACTGGCCCAAGGTCATTACTATATTTTGGCCTAAGCATTGACTATTTTAAATAGGGCGTTTTCACGAAATGCATACCAGATCTGTTTCACGACTCAACCAGGATATAATTTGCCATCTTGTATCAAAGCAGGTGATTCCTTATGTTTGTAAAAAGGTAATGAAGATGATTGTACTCTGAAACTAACCAAACATCAAAAGACATTTATGCCCTGCCATGTATATTATAAAGATAGATGCATGCAGTAAGGAAGCTTTGTTCTAAGAAACAGCAGAGCCAAGTACCAGTACAAAATTTAATTGAAAAGAGCATTTACATTATTTGGAAAAGGTAGTAGAGAAAAAGACTCTAAACGGTACTTACCCACTAACTAAGGGGTATAAAATGGAAATAGCTGATAGCCTTTGGACTTTTTTGTTATAATTTATAGCATTACAATTATTTTACATGGTTATAAAGTACGGAAACCCAGAGAGAACTTGGTTTTTCCAAGTTTGTGAAATCCTGTAACTGTCTGATTATTGTGAAATCCTGCAATTTACTTGCTGTACATTTCACTCAATATTTCCATATTGAGTGAAATGTACAGCAAGTAAATTGCAGGATTTCACAATAATCAGACAGTTACTGTATTACCAGCAGCTCTTGAACTTTGCATCAGATTGACATGAAGGACGTCTAAACCCACAGCTTGCTGGACCACATACTTGGAGTTTCTAATTCAGTATCCCGGGTTGTTATTAGGGACTGTCCCTCCATGTTATCAAGCATGATGTCTTTCTCCAGGGACTGGTCCCTCCTGATATACGTCCAAAGTATGAGCGATGAAGTCTAGCCATCCATTTTGGCTGTACCTCTTCCAATATAGATGTTTGTTCTTCTGACAGTCCATGGTACCTTTAATCTCCAATGTTGTTGTTGTTGTTATGCGCTGTGGAGTCGGTTCCGACTCATTGCGACCCTGTACAGGGTTTGCGAGACTAAAACTTTTACGGGAGCAGAAAGCTTTATCTTTCTTCCACGGAACAGTTGGTAGTTTCGAACTGCTGACCGTGAGATTAGCAGCCCAATTCATAACCACTATGCTACTGGAGCTCCTTCATCTCCAATTGTTGTTGTTGTTAAGTGCCGTGGAGGTTGGTTCCGACTCATAGCGACCCTGTACAGAGTTTCCGAGGCTGTATATCTTTACGGGAGCAGAATGCCTCATCTTTCTCCTGCGGAACAGCTGGTAGTTTCAAACTGCTGACCTTGCGGTTCACAGCCCGACTTGTAACCACTACACGATACCATAATTAAAATGCATCAGTTCTACAGTCTTCCTTATTCATTGCACAACTTCCGCATGCATATTGTTGTTGTTGTTAGGTGCCATCAAGTCGGTACCAACTCATAGCAACCCTGTGTACAACAGAAGGAAACACT